TCATCATCATCATCATCATCTATAATATTTATTGAGTCACATAAACAATGACAATCGTGTATGGCGAGTCAAATATGATATATATAGAGAGTGTACCATCGCATACATCTTATTGAGTGCAGCGAGTGAAGTTACATTTATTGTCCAGAAGCAAAACAAGGAACCATCCCAGCATTTGTTCAAAGGACCATGGAGACTGGACAAAAATCCTGATCAAGATGGGGTCATTGGCCTAGAGATTATACTTCAATACTTGTTACAGATATATTAAAATATTACATAGTAGATAATTATTTTTAGTCGCAAAATAGTTGAACATTTAACTTACTTTAATTTAATTTAAAATACTTGGAACATTTCAAGATTTGTACGATTTCATTTTTCAAAATAACATTTACTTGGCATAGATGATATGATATAGATGCAGGTAAATAATAATGCAATGTGCCTATATAATCACAAATCAACAATATTTACTACTTATTGGTTTTCAGGGTGGGTACCCAAATGGGCAAGTGAATGGCTTGAAGCATTCCTTCTTGAGTAATGGACGTATTCCTAATGGACATGGGAATCGCAGCAAAAGCAGTGTACACATAACTGAGAACCCGCAGGTCCGTCCCTCCGTAAGTCACTCTATATATGTGAAATTTTTGATATAATTGAAAATAAGTTTTCTACATTTTTATGTTTGACAAAAAGAAGATCTAGTTTTTATATTGATTTTGTCATCATTTTTCTAGTATAAATGTAGTGAGTCTCCTGGTCAACTCCTGTCTTCTCAGGAGAGCAAAGTAGATGATGAAGAAGATGATGACGATAGAGCTATGCCTGATCAAAAAATTCCTTTATTAGGAAATTCTCGTTCTGCTACTGTCAGGTATGTTTCCTAATTCCATTGGTAAATGGAAGTTATGTGAACACATATGTTTCCATAATTCCTGTTGGTGATTCAAAAACTATCCAAACATATTTCCTGGTTTTAATTTTTACCTTATATCATACCTTTTTTCAGAGGTGAAGATCATACAGAATTGGAGGAGGATAATGACTATGATCATGACATGACTGAGGACGGACTGGAAACTGCTGATTCTACTCAGTTGACAGACTTGGATGTTAGTTTAAATGGAAATACCTACACAGGCACAAGCAGTCATAACAGTAGTGGCAACAGAAATGGTAATAGTGGCAGCATCAGTAGCATCAGAGACAGAAGCAGCAGCAGTACAGATTGTGTTGTGCCCAAACCAAGTCATTTATCAGTACCACAATAAGCACTATGCTTCTCCATGTCTAACAAACACGTACATTTCGGATGGATGCGGGTATTTTTGTTTTTTTAGTACGTGCAGTAATAAGTATGTTGTGTTATTATCATGTACTAAAAAAAACAACTATAATTTTATTGGAGTCTCACCCACAGTACATGTAAATCCAGTTTTAAGCATATTTATAACTGTACATACTACATACCATTTTTCTTTACATTTTTTGCGTGCGCAAAAGAAGTGAAGTATAAAGCTGCTACGTAAAAATATTAGTGTAAACAGTAATAATAATATTGATAATAATGATAACTCTTATAACTTAGTTCATGGGATGGGAAGGTGTACAAGTATTGTTTCACATATTGCACATATTTTTATTTCAAAAACAGAATTTCCTATTAGAAATTCAATCACTTTCTCTCCTGACTGAGAGGAAACATACATGAAATCTCCTCCCCATCCCCCACACAGCCTTTTTGGACAGGATGACAGATACCACACCACATGTAAGTTATCAATGGGCATAGGAATTCACACTTACACACCAAAGGAAAGGTGTGTTGGTTCTCTCATCCATGTCCATTTATGGTATAATTAAAACAATGCTGGTACCTGAAAAGAAAATCTAGTTTAAAAATAGAAGCAACAAAATAAAAAGTTAAGCACCCTCATTCTCTCCATTTCCTTAAAATATTGTTCTTTTTTCCTTCTTTTTCTTTTTTCTTTTTTTCTTCTCTTTTCTCTTTTGTCCTACTGTTGCACCTACCCTACATACATTTTTCTTTTGGGTTCATATCTTGCCAAATTGTTTTTTCAATTAAATTAGCAGTGAATTTGTGTCTTGAAAAATAATTACCTTCATGGAAAGGAATTATTTCTGTATCCGTTTCTTTCATGCTTTCTCTCTGCTCTGACTTTATTAGTTGTGGAGTAATAACTCACAAAACCTCATGAATAATTCTGTTACTATTTTGTTTATTTATTTATTGGACTGAAAATTGTAATGTATAGTTCTAGAGCAGAGTATAATTTTCGAGGTTAAAAATTATTTCACGTTACTCGTGCTAATTTGTTTTTTGTCTATGGATAGTTTTAGATTCTTTTGTTTCTGTTGCATTTCAGTAATTAAGATACAGGTATTAATTGTTATGATTGTTGATATACATTTTTTTTAACTTTTACACATTTATAAACAAACATGCAATTAAGCCATGCATACCCAAGAGATCTATTATACCTCATTTACATCAACAGTGTACATTTATTTTGCATTTCACGTACGGTAAGGTTCCGGTAACACTTTATATTCATACAGCCATAGATATTTGATCTTTTTCCCCCTTCTTTTTCCTTTATTTTACTTTATTTTATTTTTTTAATTTTTTATAATCCTTATTTTAGTCTATCGATTTTTAATACATACATATATATATATATTTTGAAATATTTTATGCTGTTGCAAAACACCTCACATTTTACAACAGACCATGAATTGACTACAGTTTTATATATACATTTATATATACATATATATACATATATATTTTTTATCTGTGAGTCCATGAGTTTATAACCTGCCCATTCCCTGTCAACAAGAAGCGAAAGCAGAATACCCATTATGTGAAATGAAATCTGTTTATCATCGCTTCCACAACCTCCCTGCCCTTCTTATTAACTTATTTATTGTAATTATTATTATTGTATACCTTCCCACTAGCATTGTAAATGCAACAGGATTTTAATTATTTACTTGTTTACATTGTTCCTCATGTCCGAATACAAGAAAAATTGGTTTGTATCGATTATTAGAATGACTTCTGCAGATAATTTTCTTGCAAATATGAGTGAGTTGTTAATTACATAGATAAGTTATAATGACCATACTCTTTGCAGGCTATTAAGAGCAAGGGATGTATGTTAACTTTATTTTTTATTTATTTATTTTCTCTCAATGCTGTCACTTTGACTGAAAGGTTATTTCATAATATAACAAGTATTGTGAGATGTAACAAAATCGAAGGTGTTGCTGAACATTCATATTTATTGCCTTTGCTTTGTTGTTTGCAGTATATATGTAATCTTCTTGAATCAAATATTTTTTATCCCAATTCATTGGTCTTCAAGGTTTGCAAAAATTAGCATAAAATGCTGGGCACTTGTTGAATCTTCTTTTTACATTCTTTACTGATCAATAGATACAGTAGATTCTAGTTAATTGAACCTCATTAAGTTTCTTTAAATTAATAGACTAAAGTAAAATGTGAGGCCTTATTATACTAATGGCATATATTAATATTGAATGCAGACATGTTATTTTAGATGATGAGGCACTGGACTGGATGTTAGGCAGACTGGGATTGGAGTCCTCTCCAGGGGTGCCCAGAGAAAACCATGGCCCTGGGGCAGTTGATACAAGGAGACCTCTTCTTTGAGACAAAAAAATCCCTCCTCCCCCAATTCATAAATGGAATTCCATATAACATATAGCACTAAATTTGGGTGAGACATTAATACATTTTTCATTTCTTTTGAATTAAAAAAAATTGGAGCCCCAATTAAGTCAGTGCCTGGGACAGGTTGCCTCTGCTTCCTCCTCCTCTTCCTCCCCCCCACCCTTTAGACACCTATTGCCCAACCATCTTCACAGGTCCAGGAATTCCTCAGAACAGCACTCTTCGTTTGCTTAAAGTGCTATTCAATGAGTACTGAATATTTGGAGGTTTAAAAGAGGCTGGAATGTCATATTGAGAACATTACTTGTTTTTTGGAGTCAGGCGTCATATTTGTTTTTTGTTGTTCTTGCTGCAAAAAACCCATAGGTATGCTTTAAAGCTTGATTGAGGACAATTCATTTGTTTTCATTAGTGTAGTATAATGATGGGATTGAGCATAGTGAAAAAATATATTAAATTACAAAATTGAAGACTCATAACAATTAACACATTAGGACTATAACATCACAATACAACTAAAAAGAACATTGATTTCCTAAGAGTGTGGTATAGTTGAATACCTTGTTTTAAGTACTATTAAAGGTGAGAAATAATAGATTACAACTTACCTCAGAACCTATTTTCTAAAGACAAGGGAAAACTTGCACAAGATACCGCTACAATTTGGAGGAGAGGCTGTTTTTTATTCTGACTGGCCCTAACTATAGCATGGCATAATGATCCAATCCAAGTGAACATAAGATTAATTTAAATTCGTGTCTGTTCTTTCAAATTTGGCTCAAATGAATGACATCCTATTACCTATTGCCCCCCATTTACTAGAATCTACTGTAGTTGTCATAAAAGATCTGCATGTTAATAATCGTGAAAAGTTTATTAAAAAAGAAGTGTGCATAACACTTATTATATTTTGTATAAATGCATGTATAATTGTAGAAAAATCATATTTTGTAAAAAATTGTTATTTTCCATTAGAGTTACCAGAAACAATATTTTATTACCTTGACCTACATTAATGAGTTTTGTGGATGAACTATATTTGAGGTATTGATATTTGGTTACTCATGCTAGAAATTGTTCATAATTCTGTCCTAGCACCAGAACTCGCTCTCTCTTTCTTTTTTTCTGTTTTCTTTCTTTCTAAATTTGCTTAATTGGATGAGGTATGTATGTACTTTATGAGATGGTACTATTAAGTTTTTTATGTATTCTATCATCAAAGCTCAAATGTACTTTCTGAATTTGAAAACTACATTGCTTCAGCATGTTTTAATTGTAACTTTAGATTTTCCTAAGCCTACAATTTTATAAATCTCAAAGATTTTACTAAGCAGACTTCAATTGTGTCTTTGCTGACAACATTATTTCCTAACAAATATCTTTAATGTGTGAGGGCAGTGTTCCCAAGGTCTTGCTCAATTACTGTCTCATTTAAATTGTACATTCTACGAAGCTATTTATAGGTTGATGTATCACAAGTAGATAAAACTAAATTTCTGCATGTGGAACTATTGTAAAAGCCTAAAAAGTGCCTCATCACATTTCTACAATGATCATTCTGTTAGTATGTGCCATTGAAATGCTTCTCTGTTGGGTAAGACCGTGAAAATGATCTCTTCTCTCTTGAAACATGTTGGTTGATGTATCCATTAATAATGTAAAATATTAGTTACAGATGTTTTGGGTGTATCAAAACATGGTATGAAAGAATATTGCGGCTTTTTTTAGAATATAGTTGCACTGTTGATTATAAAGACTATACCAGTGTGAGTTGAGCTTCTCAGGTTTAAGGTTTACTGATTTTTCAGGCAGTACTGATCTCACATAATATGATTTGTAATTATGCTTAGTTTCTCTTATTTTACTTTATATTTTGAATGTAATCAACTTTGGTTACAGCATTCAGCAAAGCATATTTCTGCCTCTCCACGCCTGCTGAAATGCATGCAGAGTTTCATATTACACAACTTATGAATATCAGTATTTACAGCAATTTCGATATCACATGTAAATTCCATGCATGTAACAAATCCTCAGTTTATTTATTCAATAGTATTATTTATTTTTTACTTCTTTATTAATTCTCTTTTTAGTGAGTGCACATAAGAAATACACTCAACCATGTTTTATGTGCATTTATGTTCTGTTATCACATGTCTCATTCCACTCTATAAATAAGTTTCTCCATTACTTGTTTGAATGTTGTCAAGTATTCTCAGGTTTAAACTACAGCAACATATGTGCCAACCTTGGCAACCTTTTTACAACAATGTGCAGGGACATTCAGTACTCAGGCAGATAAACTCAGGAAAATATGACACAGTGCTTTACTAGCATGTCATTATTCTAGTGGTTGTAGATATTTCAGCAACAGTGAAGAAATATACAGTAGATTTTACTGCAGTACTATCCACTGAAGTGAATTTGCATTTTAGCACGTGTAAAGATGAGATATTTCATGACAATTATGTCTATAGTAACTATAGGTTTTTCCAATTGTGCTGCAGTTCGTAATAAGTGTAGTGGTGATGGCCCTAGTTGTTAAAACTAATTGTAGGTGTAGTTTAAGAATCTCAACAGCAATAGACCAAGGAAAGAGGAATCAAATTTTTAGTAATTCTACCAGTATTACTGGTACTAGTACTATAATGCCTTGTACTTGTAGTAATGCTAGAATTGCTCTCTAGTAATACTATTAGTCAGCGAAATATATTTATTACTGTGTGTACCCAAGTAATACTGGTCTTAATACTAACTAGTTTGTTGTGGTTTCAAGTGAGTCATGGTAATTGTAAAGGTAGTAGTGTTACTACTCATGTTAGATATCATAGTACTCTTAAGAATAAAAGCATGAGCTGTTTTTTCTTTCTTCATAATTTTTAGAAACAGTGCCTGTACTAATAATAGTACTGGTGTAATAGGTGTTAGAGAAACGTATTAATGTGTTGTAATAATGATACCATTGATTAAGAATTATTAGTAATGCAGTTTATAGGTACAGTTGTGTAAAGAATGTAGTATTGGTAATACTATTGTAAATAGGGTTGCTAATACTTGTGATACTAGTTATAGAGGTCTCTAGTACTTGTAAACACAGAACTTTTTGTTTATTACATGGAGATGTCGTGAATGCAGAAGGGCAGCTAGAAAAAGCTACTAGAGTAGAATACTGTAAATTACAAACTTGTAACAAAATACTGGTGAAATTGTATTATTAATGATAGGTTTGCATAAAAATATTTCTCAAATACAATTAACTTATAGATTAGTAAGATAACAATTAAGATAAGTTGTTGTAACATCAAGCTCAAATGGAGAGGCAGAAAATAATTTTCATTCAACTTGTACAATACAATAGAAAGTTTTTTATGGGTGGTGAAAGTTCAGGATGTTCTAATTCATTGCAAGAGAATCACTTGCTTTTCCTGCCTTGAAGAAGAGGTTGTGTTTATTGATGAATACATTTATGAGAACATTGCATTAATGTCTGTATGCATGGCCTAGTTACGTATAAAATGCATATTTCTCACAAACTTGCAAAGGCTATACTTTTAAATTACTTTTTTTGTAAGAGAATTTTTACATTTTAAAAATGCACATTAATTCAAGTTCCATAATACAATATACATGATTCTTTAAGCACTCCTTTTTATCTGATATATTAGTACAAACATTCATAACTAAGTCATTTAACATGGAAATTAAAGGTGCATAAGATAAATTTGTTCTTGAGTGCTAGAGCAGAATTAGTTTGTAGATTTCTGTGAAACATATGTGATGCAACACTTACAGTTTGTTATACATTCCTTTTCTCATTATCATTATTGTGAACTATAAATTACATGTCTTAAAGTATATTCATGTTCAATGTAATATAAGGCCTATTTTGTGACAGTTGTGACAAATCCATATGATCATCTCACAATACTTGTGTTTCAGAGCATATGAGATGTGTGAGGACATCAATAGTGCCCTGTATATACTAATATCATTTGATACCCTACTTGATTTTTGACACTCAATGTTTTATTTGTAACTAAAATAACATATGAATATGTGCCATCTTATCAAGACTGTTATTAATACTCGTTTCTTTTGGGATCTCTCATCTTCATGAGGAAAATGCACAAGTCTCCATTCACGTATTGTACAGGCAAATGGGCGCTAAGGATTTCTTCAGACATTCTCAGCCTTCTGCCAGCACCAATGAATATATTCTGTTTGTATTATTGCGAGTATGTATGTGTGTGCATGGTATGTGTATGTGTGTAAAGGGGTGCACGCTAGTATGATTAAAGCAGGGAGACCTCCTCTTCTATATCATTTGTGTTGGCAAAATTTCTGGTTCTTCTGTTGTTGTTATCTTTGTTTATGATATATATTTTTAAATATAAAGATGGACATCTACCTCACCAATAGCTATTTTCGAGTCCCTTTAATGGGGACATCTCAGGGAGTTCTTGACATGATTGTAAAATAACAAAACAACATGTTTGATTTTTAAGTAGTGTCAAATTCAGAGAAGTGGAAGTAATATAGACTTTTTACATTATGTACAGTTGATTCATTTTTTAAATAATGAAATAAAAGTAATATGTATCCTCAAATTTGCTTGGCAATTGTGTACCAATATTATCATTATAATTGTATTGTTAATGTTATTAATAATATTAATAATGAAGTACTGGTGTTGTACTAGAATAGTTTTTAAACAAAGTATTAAAAGCAACTGGAGTAGTTGTGTATCTTATGTACTTTGTGGTAACAATGCTGTTGGTACAAGTATTTTTTGAAGCTGACGAAGGCAAGTGTTATATTACAGTGAATGTTTTTAGTACACATACAGATTATATATTGATTATATAATATAATATAAAATTCTTTCTTCCCTCTGTCTTACTCCTTTTGGTGTCAGAAATGAGACAAGGAACTCAGCCCACAAGATTATTGAATCTTCGATGTAGAATAGGAGTAAAGACTGAAAATTCAGTCAATCCTGAGTTTATAAATCTTTCGCTGATAAATGAATGCAATTTAATTCCTAATTTATCAATATTTTTTCAACCTTCTGGCAGGTTTGTAGCAGCACTCTGTTTCGCATAGTTACTTTTCTTATAATTCCGAGGTTTGCATTGCATTTGGGGTGCATCAATTTGAGGTAATCACAGTGAGCAGTAATGTCTAGCAGATTGCATCTTATCAGTAATCATTTGTTAAAATGTAGTTTTATTGTTTCCTTTGAACTTTCTTTCACATAACCTATTACTTTAGAGACACATGTGTTCTCGGTGAAAGATTGCTCTACCACAAATACTTCTTTCATTTTAGTACATTTAATTTCAGATTGTTTTTGATTTATCACTGATTCCATAGTCTTACAAGACAAGATGGAATTGCAATTAGAAAACTGAGTTCTAATGATGACCTCCTAAAGTACAATTGTTAATTCTATAAATCAAGTTTGCAATAGATGAGACCTAGTTTCAGATCACTATCATTTTACTGTATTGATCATGTTATGTATTCAATATTGTTTTCATTCTGAAAACATATTGTAGTTTTGCAATAGATATATGATCTGATTATTTCAAATTAAAGGAAAAATACACTTGGTTAAATGTCTTAGGTTTTTATCTCTTTCATACAAATGCACATCTTTTTAACCATAAAATTATATATTTCAAGGTGCAGCACTGAGTGTTGCATGTGCATGTTTTTACAAGTGACAATGGCATACCTGCCGGTGGGTTAGTCTTTCTTTTACTCTCACTCTTTGTGCCCTCTACCTCATTATAATTCACTTCAATTATACTATTTTTCCTGCTGTATTATATATAAACACACACATAAGCATTTTTGCAGATTAATTTAAAACAAATTTGAATTTCTTTATTCCATTTTTGAAATACTGTTAATAAATCTATTATTTTCTGCTTCTGAGCAAGAAGAATGTATTACATTTACATTCATGTTTCCTTTAATCTCAAATTTATTTCTATTTAAAGCCAGTGATAGTTTCCTTTCTACACTATTTTTCTTCTGTTAGAGAATGTGCTATTAGCAGCAGCAATTTCAACTACACCATCGGCTGCAGTTTCATGTGTATACTTTTTCTACTACATTAATGGAGAAACATTAATTTTTAATATGCTTTTCAGTACGCTGTGCTAATTATAATTCACTGTAATTGAACATTTTACATTTCTTAGTTGAATTATGTTGAAATTATTATGTAAATGAAGATATGAACAGATATACCTGTGGATATGAATTTGCTAAGCTACAGTATAACTTTGTACAGAATGTTTTGTGGTTCCACACATTTAGTGAAACTGTACTAGCTCTTCACATTAGTTTTTCAAAACCATCATGCCATGTGAATGAATTCAGAAAATATCAAATTGTGAGTGTTCTTTTCAAATTTTACATTCTTGAAACTGATCACTGTCAAAACTAGAATTGTGTTTTATTGACATTGATTGCATGTACATTACTTCTGAATTAATACTTTCATTTGGAAAAGGTTTCTCATGTATTCAATTTTCCAAGTCTGGAAGAAGTACTTACAAAAAAAAAGGTACTCAAGGGTACAAGATGCCTGGTCCGAAATAATTTTTCAAAAGCATAAATTGTGTGTGCAGGGCATACAATGATGTACATACTCATATATCGGTATATTGTTTTGGGTTTCAAATACTGAACTTGTGAAAGAGCATTGAAATAAATTTTAGCAAATTTTGTCCTAAAATAATTTTTTATTGTTGTAACACATTTTTTCCAGGAAATATAATTCAAAAGAGCTGAATTATAATAATCCCTACAGGATTTGACACTTTTTCGATTAGAAATACTTTTCTCTTAAAAATCTAAATGAAAACTAAAAAGAAATATTTAAACAATAACAAAAAATTGATTGGTGGTTGAAGACATGTGCTCCTGTTTTTACACACCTGTGAACTCGCATATTAAATGGTTACATATGATCAGGAATATCTTTAGAAGAGCTAGGATTCAGCCATTTTTTAAAAAAGGGCTAAAATTGACATTCAGAATCATTGGGCTTTTTCTAAATGACTCTTCCTTCTTTCTTTTTTCTATAAATGAATGGAAAGTTTTCTCAGGAGTAATAAATCTTTCTGACTGTTAACATGAGCTTAGATAAACAAAATTCATATTTTCCTTTTGTAAAGAGGTTTCTTCAGTGAATCAAAATTAAGAAGCAATTGAAATATTTCAAAAGCTTTTGACATCAGTGGCATCGCATGAGAGAGAAAGCAGACCCTCTGCCAAAGGAAAACAAAATGTAGAGATTTCAATAGACAATATTCTTCAATTTTAAGTCTGTTGTGAGAGAGAAAGGCAGAAGCTCATGCTGAGTCAGTGCCCTCTCAGTTGTGAAAAAAGTAACTTTAGTATTTCGGGACCACGTCAGAATAGAGATAGACTTGTGTCTTCTCAGGCTTTTTCTATATGGAAAATCTACAACTGCGTCACGGCCACTGAACAAGAAGCACATCGTTACAGGTTTAAGGGAAAAGCTGTGTGTGCTTTGCAGCCACTGAACGAAAAACTCAAATGTGAGGCCTCCTTACGGGCAGAAAGCATGTCGCTTCAACCCAGGGCTTAGATAAGTCTATTCTCACTCAGGGGCATTTCAGCACTTAATGGTTCGCGTGATGTTTGTTTTGCAAATGGTGTAACACTAGAACGCCTAGAGGCATTATTTCGACTCCTGGCGCTGCTGTGTCGTAACTTGTTTTTGAAGATAGGATTTTGTGATTTCGTGATGTTTCATCATTTTTACTTATTTACAGTATGTTAAAAATGGAATCGTGTAAAAAATATATTTCATGAAAAATAATCGAATTTACCCAGAATGCCCATGAGACGTCAATTCGACTCCTTGGTCACTGATTCAATCTTGTAGCTTCTGATTCATATATTTCAACCTTTAAAAAGTTTAAATGTGTCTCTTAGTATTTCGGATACCTTCGGAGCATTCCTTCCGGTTTTTATCGTTTTATGGTCATGCTGTTCAATAAATTCAAAGTCATAAATCATGAGATGCTTCGTCACCGTACAGCAAATACTTAACTTGGTAATTGAGTTTCGAAAAGCAAATCAGGTATGTCTAAATAACGCCACGCGTGCTATGGAAATAGTCATAAATTCCCGAATCGCGAAGCGGATCTATCTGAGAATTTCCAAAGCACGAATGGTATTTAATAGGAATATTCCACGAGTGAAATGTCCAAATGAGTTTCAAAATGCGCGAAATATTGGATGTTATTAAAAGCGTATGTTAAAATCACACGTTATGTTATAGTGCATACGCTGTTTATTATTCATCAACATAGCGATCGATTTATTACGCCTCTTAAGGCACAGTTTATAATTTGCCAGTATGTAGAAGCGGTAAGAAAAATCAGGCAGAAAAGCAATTGACTTTTTGAGATACAACGCCTTGATTGGGGCATTTTGTATGTGTAGTTTAACACTATTGGTTTTAATTTCACGAGTGGAATAGTCATATGAAAGAACAGCATTGTGATATATATATATATATATATATATATATATATATATAATATATATATATATATATATATATATATTAGAATTTTTTTTAATATTATTTAATATTTTTTAATTTTGCGGAAAAATTTATACAGCGTGTTTTTTCTTCCAAATTTGATGCATTTACAGAGTTCATGGTATAAAACTGAATGAAAGCTGCAAATCCTGTTCCCAACATAGTAACATTTTTTAAAACAATTGAATTCACATTGTAAATTATTATGAGGATGCTGGTTTAATGTATCGATTCTTAAGATAACGTTTTACTGCTTTTTCTAAGAATTATCTTTTTAAGTCGCGCCAGCGTTCTGAAGTACTTCTCATCAGAACTCCCTTCAGAAGTCATTAAATTCGATCATTTATTTAAACTAAATGGTTAATTATTCATTAGCATAATTGATAATACAGTAGAACCTTACTAACCCGAAATTTTGGATACGTTTATTACCTGAGGTCTACAGTCCGGGCATACCCATACAGCATACGATTAGTTCGGTTGAGTTCATATACCTGTTGGAATATGAGCTCCAATTTGCTGTAAAAGTATTGCTTGTTTATGATGATGGGCACTAGTTAAGAAGTGTATTGCAATGGTTACATCAAGCATTAAATTACACATATTGAGGAAATTACATATTCAGATTGTTCCAAAGGGATCCTGACTCTATACAACATTGCCTCGCTAACATCTAAAACGCTGTTAGTAAGAAGGAATAGTCATATAGAACGAGTTGGAAACTCGAAATATTAACCTAATACCATTAAGTTGGTATTGACAGTTCGTGCGTGATAGATTTAGATTTATTTAGTTAAAAAACAATAAAATCGTATGTGACGTATTGGGGAGACATGTTTTCTTAAGGCTAAATGTCCCGACACTAGTACAGAGTGCGCCAGAGAAACTTACTTATTTGAAAAAATTCCCGCGCGGTGAATTGGGTGGTTAGAGGGGCGAGAGGGGGCGTATCTGGAGGGGGAAGTTCTCAAGTTTTTTTCTCCTTCCAGTCAGTTGCCATCATGCTGTGGACTAGAGAGCAGCGGGCCTTCGCAGTCGAGAGCTTCTTTTCAACGGTCGGCTCCACTTGCTTGCTACGCAACTGCCATCCGCGCTCGCTTTGAAATTTCCTCCTCACAGACTCGTTCCTGGCCGTAATTGTTCTGTCGGGCGTTAACTCATTTCGGAGTGTGGAAGGTGTCGCTAAACCCAGAAATTGGACTTCAACGGACCATCAGAACCCCGGAAAATATCGAAAGAGTGAGGCAGTCAGTTGTGCGTTACTCCCCGGACGTTCGGTCCGCAAACACGCAGCTTAGCTGACAATATCGGAATTTCTGGACACCACTGTTCGGGACGAATTCTGCATTGAAGACCTTCTTTTTTATCCCTAACAAACGGCCTGTTTGTGCCAAAATTAACTGAACGCGATTTGTGACCGTCAAAATGCATGCTGAAATGCTGATTGACACCTGCCTGAAGACTCGCGTTCGTTTTTTTCCAGTGACGAGGACTTCACTTCCACATTTCCGGCTGCATCAACAAGCAAAACATGCGTTATTGGCTGTGGTGTAAATCCGCGTGAGCTTCACCAAAGCCACTTAATTGTGAGCAGTTACTGTCTGGTGGCGATGTCGTAATGCGGAATAATTAGTCACTTAGTTTTTGAAGAAACGAAGGCGGCGTTACCGTGAATGGAAGCTCGTTTACAGGAACATGATTCGAGAATTTGTTCTTCCAAGATCGAAGAAATGAACATTTAGGGACGTGTGGTTCAGCAAGATGAGCCACAGCACACACAGCACGAGACACAATGAATTTTGTGCGACATTTCCCCGACCGCCTTCATCTCTCTCAGGAGGCCATTCCTCCCAATGGCCGGCACGCTCTCCAGATTTGGACATCCATGCGATTTCTTGTTTTATGGGCGTTATTTTGAAATCCCTGGTTTATGTCGATGTGACCACGGACCATAGCACACACCTCAAAAACAACATTCGCGACGCCATTGCCAACATACCGGATTGATATGCTGCAAAGAGTGGATTACGAATTTCAAAAATCGATTTCATCAGTGGGTATGCGCAATGGAGCGTCGCCATTTATCCGATGTATTTTCAAACTTGCATGGAAAAAAAATTGCGTGATATTGTATTCTACAAATAAAAAAATAATAAAATAAACTGAAGTACTTTTGTTTTTATTGACCTTTTCAAATAAGTAAGTTTCTCTGGCGTACCCTGTACAATTTGGGTGCGGCCACCACGTTGGCAGCACCAAAATAAGTAAAATTTACTTTACGATTACGCGTCGAACCAATTTTTCCGATTTTCGATCTGTAAACGGCATTTGACGCCTTTTAAAATAGAATTTACGCTACGCAAGCCCTTTTCCAAAAAATCTAGCAAAATCTCGAATTTGAAATTAGTTATCAAACTTCCGAGAAAAAAATTAAAAATATAGGCTGTATAGCGCCGATAGGCGACATGCTTCCTGAAATCCAACGCCGTGACAAGCATTGGCTAATCGGACGAATAGGAGCGTCGTAAAGTGAAATTTACGAAAACCACCTCGCCCCCCTTCCCCTTCTTCACCGTTGCGTCACTCACCCGATTGTTGTGGGCCTTCAGCGGCGGGCACGACCCAGCGCCAGGCGGCGCTGCGCGCCAGCCACGGGCGGAGCAGGCGGACTTGCTAGGGATACGCAAGCGCAGACAGTCGGTTTGCGGCATTTCGTCTTCTGGGTAGCATCTCAGTCTATTTTTCCACAGATACCAATTAAGATGCTATACTACTATTTACTGACTGAGGTAAAACGGTCTTAATAGTAGTACGTCACTATATTGTTGCACAATTTCCGTCTTCGCTTCGAAATACAATCTTAAAATTGTTTGAGGCAATTACTCAAAATATCGATTCCGATTTGAACTGGTTTTTGAAAATATGAACCAATTTTGTAAATATAACCATTATTCCAGCTCCTCACAATCTTAATTTTAGATTAATATTTTGCTTCTAAGGTTTTTCTTTTTATGTTAAACATTCCACCTTGCTCTAAGATCTTCCGGTTAAAATAGCGGAACGAATGAGCGGAGTATACGCCACGAGCCTCTTTTATCCTACAACTCGATTTTGATCTCAAAACGACCGTTTACCTGCTTTAATGAGTTCA